GTTCGTTAAGTCTACATTTTGGAGCAAAGGGGGTTTCAGAACAGAGTCTCCAATGTGTGCCTTCTTCGTCTCATCTCTTCTCCTTAGTCTTTGTAGCGAGTTCAACCACTAAAGTAGGGTGTTCTACGTTCGTTTAGCACAAAGTAACCGTCGGGAGAGGGGTGTATCTGCTGTACACGAGGTTGCGTGAAAGTCTTTCGCGAGTACAAAGTGACCGTGATAACATTTTGAGTAATCTTATTACCAAAACTCAATACAACCAGCATTCTTTTACTATAATTTTGTAAGAAATCTGAAGAATGTTTGCGTACAACTTTGTATACTCTTCCATAGAAGTGATCATGTTAACGATTAAGGAAAACACAAGGTTTGCCAATATAATTTAATTTTGAATCATGATATTTTAACAAATTTATGTTAAAAACATTTTAACAACGATAACAATCTATTGGCCTTTATTTTTTTATTTTTAAATGTTGACATGGAAAAAGAAGAGGTTTTTTTTTATTTTCGTTTTCTCTCTTTCTTTTGAATTTAAGTTCTCTCCTTGTTTTCCATTTTGATTATGTTTCTCCCTCTTCCATTTTTATTTTCCTTGTCTTCCTTCTTTATCCTTCCTCTTTTGTTATATCACCATCATTTTCGACAATTGAACATCTGGCGATTGAAACGATCTCTTTCCCTTTTGTTTTATCATTGTCGACATGAAGACGTTATTAGCTTTATTGCGGTGGTATATTTTTTCGATTCAATGTTCACCATCGTGACAATTAACCTTTTTTCGGTTTGTTAAAGTCTTTCACGAATTCAAAGGGACCACAATAACATTTTGAGTAATCTTATTATCCATTCTTTCTTGAACTCAATACAATGAGCCTTCTTTTACTACAATTTTATAAAAGATTGGAAGAATGTTTGCGTACAACCTTGTCCTTAGGAGTGATCATGTTAACGTTTGAGGAAAAAACAAAAGGTTTGCAAAGCTACTCCATTTTATTGTGTTGGGTAAGGAATGATTTGATGGGATGGAAATAATCTAAGGAAAAAAATTGTTTCAATTTAATTTTGGATCATGTTAAGAACTTTCCGTTAACAACATCTTAACAACGGTCACAATCTATTGGCCTGTTTATTTTATTTTTTTAAATGTTGATGTGGAAAAGCAAAAGGTTTTTTATTTTCATTCTCTCTTTTTTATCTTGCATTTACGTTGCCTCCTTGTTTTCTATTTTGATTTTGTTTCTCTCTCTTCCATTTTCAATTTCCTTCTCTCTTCTTTTTCTCTTGTTGGACCACCATATGTCTTTGGTAATCAATTACAAGACTCCTCTAATCAATTTCCAAGGCCTAAGTTGCCCTCTAATGTTGAAGGACTTCACATAACTTTGTTAAAACCACATGTGACATTTTTTCTTCACAATTAAATGAGTTAAGGTGTTCATTGATGCACTAAACACCATTAATGATCAATAAACTCACTCCTCCAACTCAAAAAATGAAAAAAAAAACACCAAAAAACACAAGCAAAACAACCTATGTTGGCTTTGGCCTCAATAATTGAATTAAGTAAGGTCTTTCTTGAGGCACTAAACACCACAAATGATAAAGGAACTCCCTCATTCAAGGAAGAAAGTTCATATAATCACTGAAATAAATTGAATTACTAAGTTCATTGTTTAACATCGAGCTGATGTATGGTTTGATGTCATTTTGTTTTAGACGCTGGTTTGTGGTGTTAAACGACGTCTAGCATTTATTTACCACAATGTCACCTATCATTATTAACGTTGGCTGATATGTTATTGGACGTTGAATGTGTGACGTTATACGCTATTTTTGTACAAGCAAATGATGACACATCAATATCATCTTCAACCTTCATCTTCTTTATATCATCAACCACTTGAAAGCAACCTTAATTTTGAGAGAAAGAGGGAGCTACCATGTGGTAAGCCCTCACTGGATAGTCAAAGGGTCGACCAAAGTTTTGTTATAGCTGATCAAATAAGAAAGGTTAAAATTTAAATAATGATATCTGAACATAAGAGTGCCTCAAAATTTGTCCACAAATCTAGACTGTGTGGTTGGAAGGGCTGAATTGGAAATTTGGACAAAGTTTAGTTGTTGATAATTTATTAAATATCATTAATTTAATTATATCTTAAATTTTCAACAAAAAATATTTGTCAAATACTTTTAAAACTAATTAAATCTGTTAATTATTTAGGAGATATTACATTATTTGAAATGGGTTCCAACGACAAAAAAGTTTGATCAATTTCTATATATAAAGACCAGGGGAAAACAAAAGAAGGAGCTTAGGAACCCTTTGGGGGGTCTAATTCCGTTCTCTCTCCATGCTTTATTCTTCTATTTCGATATCATTTTGATTTCATAGAAGGCTAAACTTCTAGAGTTAATTCCATTATAATTTTATTATTGATTTTAAGGTTAGATTAAAATAATTTCTTTATTCTTTCACTAGTGCAGTAAGGGAAAATAACAACAGTTATTTTTTCTTATAGGCACCAGTTCTGCAACCGAGACATATACAAGCGATGTAAAAGGGGGTAGACTTTATACCTCGGTTATGAACCGAGACAAAATGAGGTAGGATTATGCCTCGGTTCTTAGCTAACCGAGGCAGTAGCGTGTTTTTTTTTTCAGACTTCAGGATTCGGTTCGTACTGAACCGAAGCAGTAAGTGGGACAATATTAGTCGGAGCTACCAACGCCAGCAATCGTTACACACATGACAGCCTCCATCTGCGCCCTTTTTCACATCACTCGCTTGCACAACTAGAAATTTCCAACCCGAGATCATAATAGAGACCCAAGATTTCCCAATTTCAGAAACCCAATTTGATAGAACCCCAAGGTTACAATTTTTGAATGACAATGATGCTTTTCCTTTCTGTTCCGCAACCAGACCACCAAAAAAGAACCACAACCGAACCACCAATTTGAACGACACTGCTGCGATTTGTGATTTCTTCGTGAGTTCGTTCTCCTCAATTGACGCAACCAGAAAACAAATCACGCCTCCTTGATTCAATCTTCTCCATCCCAACCTGCACACAGAATCACAAAAACAATTGACGTAGAAACCAAACTCAGAAATCGTAAATCCTTTTCATGGCGCCTACCTCCATTGACATGGATGAGTTATTTTCTTCCTCGCAAGCATAACCATGAGCTTCAATCGTGAATTCCTTAAGCTGTCATCCATGGGCGAGAGTTGCACGCCTTCATCCTCTCCACAACGGCGTAGGAGAAAATGTGAGAAAAGAGAGCAACGACGCAACTTCTGTCTCTGTTCACGAAATTTAACCCTAAACACATGTTATTACCTCAGTTATTTTTTTAACTAAGGCAATAAGGGTCTACGGCCTCGGTTCTATAAAGAACCGATGCCTAAACTCTCTCAAAAAAAAATTCAGCTATTTTATGCCTCGGTTCTTTAAACAACCGAGGTAATAGACATTTGCAATAATTACAAAAATGTCACTATGTTAGTTTTAGGCATCATTTCATTTTGAACCGAGGCATATACATTTGTGATAATTACATAAATGCCACCGCGCTAGTTTTAGGCATCGGTTCTTTTTGAATCGAGGCGTATACGTTTATGATAATTACAAAAATGTCACCACGTCATTTTTTGCTTCGGTCATAGCTAAACCGATGTCAAATGCGCGAAGTAAAATCCTTTTTTTACTAGTGTTTTTACTATTCTTGAATTTATCTATATGTTTTGTTTCGGAATCAAATAAAAAGTATTGATTTTACATTCTAGCTAATTAGCTAAGGTTTTTAAATCTATATATGTGTTAATCATATGAGTTAAAGTGTTTTTAAAATCAATTAAGACTTTACTTTGATTTAATTTAAAAGCTTTAAGGTGATTAGTTGAGTTTTTACCAAGAGACTTTACTTTGATTAAAGGTAATCACTTTAATTAAAATTAGTCAAAACTTTACTTTGATTGATTAAACTTTTTATTAGTGAGGAGACAAATAAATAGATATAATTAGACATAATAAAATTTAATTGAGAGTGTACCTTGGTTGAATTGACTATAAATAATCTAAAATTCTTTATTATTAATTAAGATTATACTTTAGTTAATTGATATTTTATATTGATTAATTTGTAAATATACAACCATTAATATTGAAAAAAAATACGGAATAAAGTTAAATTTATGTAATTTGTTGAATATTGTATAACATACTAAACAACTTACCATTACTTATTGTCAATGTTTAATCACATTGTCGTGCGTATAACAAACTTTTACTTGTAAGGGTCACAAATGATCTCTTATTCCAGAATATGAAAAATTATGTTGTCAAGTATTATTGTTTGTCCTATAATCATCACAAATAGAATCAACTTAATTAACTCTAACTTCAATTTATAATAAGAAATTAATAAAATTAGACCAAAACTTATTTTATTTAATTTTAAATGTTAGTTTAATCTACTTTTAACAATATAATCAACTCACATGATTTTAGTGCTTATTGCTTGTGCAACAGAAATAAGCCATGTGTAAATAATACAGGAGATAATATAATGACTTTGTGAGTGTTCTTTATTATAGATTGTCTATAGTCACTTCTATTTAATAATACCAGTTGTATGGGACATGATTAATTGCACGCTTGGTAAGTTGAGGTTCAACAACATGCAAATCTTCATCTTCAATCTTATTCAGCTTATTGAGGTTCAGGGATACCCAGTTAGAAAGAAATGTATTATATATATTTTTATTTATTTCTATCTTTCTATGAAGTGGTGTTATTTGGACACGCGAAAATTCAAAAGGCGAAACTGGGACATTCCGTCTGAGTGAGGATGGGTGGGTCCCTAATGAAAGCCAACATCGACCGTTGACCATTGACCATAGACTTTTCCATGGAAGTTGCGAGTTTTTAAACAACAGACAAGCTTTAAATAAAATTAAAACTTCTGTCTGTGGGCGTAGGTGTCATCATCTTAATTATCATCTACAATGAGAACTGAGCTAGTCTCACCACTTTTGGCGATGCCATTGTTTTGGCTGTGCCTCTGTAACGAACTCTTTGTGGTTTCTGGCCTTTGTCATGATGATCAGAGGTCATTGCTGCTCCAGCTCAAAAACAACCTCACCTACACCTTTGAAAGCAGCACCAAAGTGAAGTCATGGAATCCAACTAATGATTGCTGCGGCTGGATAGGGGTATCTTGTGACAAGGAGGGACACGTTACTTCTCTTGACCTCAGTGGAGAATTAATCACCGGTGGTTTTGGCAATTCAAGTAGCCTTTTCAGTCTTCAACATCTCCACAAATTGAATTTGGCTTATAACGATTTCAATTCTGTCATTCCATCTGCATTTAATAGGTTGGAAAATTTAACGTACCTGAATTTATCATGTGCGGGCTTTCGGGGTCAGATTCCAATAGAGATTTCTCAAATGACAAGGTTGGTTACTCTTGATCTCTCTTCTTTTCTTATGTTTTACCCTAGCAATGAGCTGAAGCTTGAAAACCCAAATCTACAAAAGCTTGTCCGAAATCTCACCAGTATTAGGCAACTGTATTTGGATGGTGTAAGTATATCAGCTGCAGGACATGAATGGTCCAGCGCTTTGATGTCACTGCATGACCTGCAAGAAGTTCGCATGTCATGGTGCAATCTCTCAGGACCCCTGGATCCTTCCCTAGGAAGTCTTGAGAATCTATCAGTTATTGTTCTTGATGTGAACAATGTATCATCCACAGTGCCAGAAACATTTGCCAATTTGAAATTTCTGACCATCCTAAGTCTTTCTTCTTGTCAGTTGACTGGAACATTTCCTCAGAATATCTTCAAGATTGTAACATTGTCAATTGTTGACATATCTTTAAACAACAATCTCCAAGGTTTCTTTCCAGACTTCCCACAAGGTTCTCTTCAGACCTTAAGAGTAAGTAACACAAGCTTCTCTGGAGCATTTCCAAACTCTATTGGGAACATGAAGAACTTAACTGAATTGGACTTTTCATATTGTCTATTTAGCGGAGCGCTTCCCAATTCACTGTCAAACCTCACAGAACTCAGTTACCTGGACTTGTCATATAACAACTTCACAGGTCGAATTCCATCATTTGAAATGGTCAACAAGCTTACCTACTTAGACCTTTCTAATAATGGTTTGAGTGGTGCAGTTCCATCATCTTTTCACTTTGAAGGACTGAACAATCTTGTTAGCATTGATTTGGGTTATAACTCGATTAGTGGGAGCATTCCTTCATCTCTTTTTACACTCCCACAGCTGCAAAAAATTATGCTTTCCCATAATCAGTTTGGTCAACTAGACGAATTCACAAATGTGTCTTCTTCTAAATTAAAAATACTCGATTTAAGTAGCAATAATCTATCAGGGTCTTTTCCAACATCTATATACCAACTCAGTAGACTCTCTATCCTCATACTTTCTTCAAACAAGTTAAATGGGACAATGAATCTAGATAAGCTTTCAGAGCTCAGAAATTTAACCACATTAGATCTTTCATACAACAACTTATTAGTCGATGTCAATGTTACGAATGCCAAGCCGTCTTACTTTCCCAGCATTAGCAATCTAAAGTTAGCATCCTGCAACTTGAAATCTTTCCCTGATTTCTTGAGAAATCACTCCTTAATCGCCTCTCTAGATCTTTCGGATAACCATATCCAAGGAATAGTGCCCAGCTGGATTTGGAAACTACAGAATCTTGAAAGGCTTAATATTTCTCATAATTTGTTGACTCATTTGGAAGGACCTTTTCAGAATTTCTCTTCCAAGTTGTATGTCCTTGATCTTCATCATAATAAACTTCAGGGGCCAATACCTGCTGTTCCTGAAAATGCGGTCTATTTGGATTTCTCAAGCAACAATTTTAACTCTGTTATTCCACAAGACTTTGGTAATTACCTGCCTTTCACATTCTTTCTCTCTCTCTCAAACAATACTTTGAGTGGCAGTATCCCTAATTCCCTATGCAATGCTTCATATCTTCAAGTGCTTGATCTTTCCAATAATAACATTTCTGGAACAATTCCATCATGTTTAATGGCAATGAATAAGAGCCTTGGGGTATTAAATCTGAGAAAGAACAAACTCACGGGCCCTGTCCCAGATACCTTTTCAGATGCTTGTTCTCTAAGGACTCTGGATCTCCATAACAACAAATTAGATGGAAAGATTCCAAAATCTCTTTCAAATTGTACTTCATTAGAAGTCTTGGACCTTGGAAACAACAAGATTATGGATGGCTTTCCGTGTTTGTTGAAGAACATATCCACAGTCCGGGTCTTAGTCTTACGAAAAAATAATTTGCATGGTCATATTGGATGTCCAAAGACCAAAGGCACATGGCATATGCTTCAAATAGTGGATCTGGCCATCAACAATTTCACTGGCAAGCTACCTGGAAACTGCTTCACAAGGTGGGAGGCAATGATGTCTGATGAAAACCAAGCTGAATCCAAGGTAAAACATATCCAATACCAGTTTCTTCAATATGGTAACCAAATATATTATCATGATTCAGTGACAGTTACAGTAAAAGGTCAACGGATGGATCTGATTAAGATTCTAACTGTCTTCACTTCGATCGACTTCTCATCCAACTATTTTGAAGGAGAAATACCAAATGAGTTATTTGAGTTTAAGGCACTCTATACGCTTAACTTGTCAAATAATGCTTTTTCTGGCAAAATTCCACAATCAATTAGAAATCTGAAGGAGCTTGAGTCCTTAGACTTATCAATCAACTTACTGGAAGGAAATATTCCCACAGAACTTGCAACTTTATCCTTCCTATCAGTCCTGGACCTCTCCTTTAATCATTTGGTGGGAAAGATCCCAACAGGCACCCAACTTCAGTCATTTTCAGCTTCTTCCTTTCAAAGAAATGATGGGCTCTACGGTCCTCCATTGACAGAAGAACAAGATGGTACAGAGCCAGGGGTGTTACAAGAACACCAAACAACAGTTTCTACCATTCACTGGAATTTTATTATTGTGGAAGTTGGACTGATATTTGGCCATGGTATGATTTTTGGTCCACTCCTGTTTTGGAAGCAATGGAGAATATGGTATTGGAAAGTTATTAACAAAATTCTCTGTTCGATCTTCCCTCAACTGTATTTTGAATATGTAACCAAGAGAGGTCAAACCTATGCAACTCTAAGGTGGCAACATTAACTATTAACAAGTAAAAGTCACTGGCATTTATTAATAGCTATTATCTTCATGTTTACTTCTTCAAATTCAATAGTTGTTATATTTTAATGAGCAAAACAATTATTATTAGGACATACATGTGTTTACTTTTGGGTCTCGTGTTTAGTAGAAGAAAAAAATGGACATGTCGAATAAAAGGCATTTTTTAAAGTTTCTTTCACACCGTTTTTAAGAGAAATTTGCATGACTTACTTTTGTTAGAAGTGGGAGGTGCGTTGGTTAATAGTTGATGATGTTAAATCACTGTTGAGCAGTTCTTACTCTAATTCCAAATTTTCATCTGCATCTCCAAAATATCAAAATACTCTAAGGCCGATTAAAAAATTTACTTATTCGACGATGGTTAAATTTCTTTTTTTTATTTAATAATAATAATAAAAATAATAATACTAATAATAATAATAATAAATAAAATATATAAAATTAAAAAAACATAAAAATTGTAACCAACTTTTAAAGATTTTTTCTTAATTTTTCTTTAATTTATTTTTTTGTTTCATAATCATAATAACAATAATAATACATATTAAAAAATTACAAAATAAAATTTAATATTTTAAATATTATTTAATTTAAAGGAAATATATTACAAAACAAAAAAAATAAAAATAGATATGTTAACCATTGGAAATACGGTTAACAATGAATAATTTAAATTAAATATGTTAACCATATTTCCAAATACTGTTAACATATTTCATTTAAGATTTTTTCTAATTTTATAATATTATTTATTTATTTATTTTAATAAGTAATATTTTATAAATTATTATATTTATATATATTTAATTATATTAAAAATATTAAATTAATTAAATATTTATTATATTAAAAAAATTGTTTATGAAATTTAAGTAAATAATTTTTTTAATTTAGTTTTAAATTTAAAATATTAAATTTTTAATATGTTTTATTATTATTATTATTAGTATTAAGAAATAAAAATAAAAATGTAAAATAAAGAGAAAAAAATCGTGTTCAAATGTCTGATGAAAGTACTTTTATCATTCTGGAGGTGCAGAGGATGAAAAGTAGAGACGTAGGAGGAACTGCTCATCACTATTTCTTAAAAATTAAATAGTTTTTTTTTTTTAATTTATGTGTCACATTAAGGCGTTTCCACCTTTTTATTTTAACAGTTTTTAAAATTTATAAATACTTTGATATATTATTTAAGTATTGTAATTTAAAAGTTATAAATTATATTTTCTTAAAAATATATTTGATTTGTTTCACCTAACTTTTATACATAAGAGATACCGGAAAACAATAATTGAATGGGAAACGGTAGCAAAATTAGTTATTGAGTAACTTAATTTTTTTATATATTTTATATATTTTTTATTTTACATATGTGCATTCGACATAATATATATTATAAATAAATATTGAATGAGCGACAGTAAGAATATTAAAGATTTTATTTCACTCCAAAAAATGTCACATTTACATAATTTCTACCTGAAGTTTCTTCCTGCACCTCATTCACTTCAACATGCACTTCTTTTATATATATTTCTAATTGTAATCCTTTCACAATATTTTTGTTAACTCATTGGTAAATATATCAAATTGTATCAAGTAATATAAAATGATAAGATCAAGTATCGTTTTCTAAGAAACTCATAACACCAAACAATTGTATAATATCTTAACTAATTAAGATTAAGGAATGATTCCATTGAATGAAATTTGAATGCAATAAAAATAAACATAATAACTTGAATGTAAAATTGATCTTTTGAAGCTAAAACAAGAATGAATAAATTATATTGAGATGATATGAGATGATGATGTTGTTGGGGTTAGATTTCACCTACTTCACTTTTATGTATATTAGAACTCATCTTCTTCATTGAAATGCTAATGTCACTTTCAAAATTACTTAGAACCCAATCCCTTGACGTAAAAAAACTAGTATTAATTATTAGACAACAATCCCTTGAAACCCTAATAACAAATTCAACATTAAGAAGAGAAACTTAAGACAACTAAACGTCATATTTTTATCCCTAGATAATATCTCCCTTTAGGTGAATATCTCCACATCATGGTTCCTAAGTGTTTCCCAATAACAAAGAATTCCAAACATCAAGCTATGAATGAACAAAACATAACAAGCATTAAGAATATTAGAAATCACTAACATTCAATGAAAGAAGCATAAAATATTCAAAACATGAAGTTTAGAGGTTACATCTTTCCCCAACAATAAATGAATTTAGCTCTCCGTTGTCATGGACATGGAGAACCTTGGCTCACAATGGAAGAATGTAAATGAGATGGAAACCCTAGAAATAGAAAACGAAAGCTCCCGCATGCCCAATCTTCCTCCAAAGGGTCGAAAATAGTGTTTCTGTGCTTCAACCGTCAAAAGATATGAACCCTAATGTGTAGAGGCCTTTAAATACATCCAAAATTCCATATGGGCCAACGTCGCCAGCGCTCAGCACCCCAGTTGAGGGCAACCAGGCGAGCCTGCGCGAAGATTGGCGCTCAGCGCCTTGGCTTAGGGAACCCAGGCATCCTACGATATAGCTGACTGGCACTCAGCGCCCCTAGAAGGATGCCCAAGCGTGCTTGCGAGATCCTTGGCCCTCAACGCCCCTGAAGAGGGCGCCTAGGTGTCCATGTGTGACCACTAGCGCTGAGGGCCCTATAAAAGGGCAACCATGCGTGATATCGTGACAACTAGCGCCCAGGGCTCCTGAAAAGGTCAACCAAGCGTCCTTGAGCCTTATACAGGCTTCCATTCTGGTGCTTTTGCTGTCCTTCCTAGGTTCCAACTCCTTGATACTTTACTCCTCGTCAAAAACATACCAATAACTTAAAAAATTGAGGGAATCAATGATAAAAATCATTAAGTATAACCTCTATTCACTTATTCACCAAATTCAACTAAGAATAAGAGTTTAAGCAAGCTTCACAGTTAAAGAGAGTTGATTTAATATAAAAATTACATCACAGATAACGGTACAATCAATTGTTATCACAACCCCAAACTTGAAACTTTCCTTGTCCTTAAGCAAAATATAACCTGGCTTAAACAAAATAGCCATACTACAATGGTCTAGCACACCAAAAAACATTTTCTTCTAAGACAAGTAATCACTCATGTCTGTCCATCATAGAAAGATCAGTCAAGAAATAATGAAGTCTTAGCCAATCAAGCTTCAACTATGGTGCTCACATAACAAAAAATACACAACAGATGCAAAAGCCTTATGAGTGATCAACAACCAAGCAAAATGTTATCCTATAATGCATGAAATCATTCCTCACCAAAGAAAGTGTTTCACTCAAGCTCAAAGGTGTATAGTGAGGTGTCTCTTTCACTCTACCATCACAATGTCACACAAATCAACTTTGCCTTTCATTTAAATAACATCAAACACATTCACAAGCAAGTTATCATCACAAGGACTTTTTAAGGCTTGTATTGTAGTTGGGCTAAGAAGAAAACTGGTTTTTCTGGACAACAAAGTTCCTTGAGTTAAGAGAGTGAACAATTTACTTCATAATTTAACATTAATCTCTCTTTCTACTTTTCACTTGAGAAACCACTTATGAACTTAATCCCAACTTTTATTCATTGAACCCATCCTTCTCTTCTTCTTCTTCCTTCTTTTTCTTTTCTTTCTTTACTTAATACCCTTTTTCCTTTCTTTTTTAATTCCCAACAACCCCAAACTTGAAACATTCTCCTGTATCATACATGCATACTCTACTCAACTCAAGGCAAGGATTTCAAAGGTTTCTTTTTTCACATTCAGCTCAAGGTTCAAAGGATAAAACAAATTTTTGGGTTAAAATGTTGGCATTGGATTACAATGGAGAAGAACATATGACCTTGATCATTTGTAACAAGCAAGCAAATAGTTCAACGGAGAAACTCAGGCAAAATCAACTATGATTCCAAAGCAATAACATTCAACAACAATAAACTCTGGAGCCTAACCTCTCACAGGTTAATTCAAGGTTCCACACTTTGATAAACATCATGCCAAGCACATTAATCATAATTGAAACCATGCATATGTCTTAAACAACTATGAGCAACCACCATTTGTGCTAAGAGCTAAACTAATCATTAACTCAACATGAATCTCAAAACAATAAAGCAAACACAAGATAATCTTACTTCTCACCATCAAACCATTTATAACTTAACACCAAACCATTGTAGTAAACTATCCATTTAACCAAGTACATAGCTCAAACTAAAATTAAAAAAAAAATAAACACAATTCAAACATGCATAAAAATAACAAAAACACAAGATAAATCCTGATCTAGCACTCCCCTCAAAGGCATCTGAATCTTCCTCATCATCCTCATCATCCTTTGCCATAGCTTCGGCTCCGAACGTGCCACCTCCTCCACTAGCTTGGGCATGGTCCCTAGGCCAAGACATGCGAGTGATGAACTCATCAAGTGAAATGCACTAAAGTCCAGGAGAAGCAACATATAACCTAAAACCACTCAAACACTCAAATAATAACAAATCAAAACCAAACAACTAACTCAATTAAAAAGAAAAGTTTAGAAAAGTTGGATTGCCTCCCAGTAAGCGCTTGTTTAACGTCATCAGCTTGACACCACTTTCCTCAATTCAGACTTTTGATGTTGGCATTCTTCTTTCTTTCAATACACCAACATAATCTCAACTTCTTCCTAGCCACCAACTTGACTCTCCTAGAATAGGGAACCTCAATCTCTAAATTTCCATTTACTTTGATATCCTTGATAACCCATAACCTGTTCTTAAATTTCACTAGTTTGCCAGGTTTGAGTTCATTATTGTCCAACACTGAGTCTTGGTGGACTAGTTTCTCTTCATTGTCTTCATCCTCTTCCTTCATTTTTGGAGAAAAACAATTATGGCTCCTCTTGACCAACTTGGCAGCTTGATCAGGTAGACTAGCCACTGATAGAACTTCATCTGTTGTTTTCGGACTAGTCT